GCTACCTCGAAGCTTCATCCGGTGTTTCACATCTCTCTTCTCAAGAAGGCTGTGGGAAATCATACTCCTATCTCATCTAGCTTACCCCAATTCACTGAAGAAGGGGACATTACACAGAGCCCATCAAAATTGTGGATTTCCGATGGGTCCGATGAGGTGGGCAGGTTGTACCAGAAGCCAAGGTAGAATGGGCCGGGCTGCCCCCAGAAGACGCCACCTGGGAACTTTATCTAAGGCTGAATGAGAAGTTCCCGAACCTAGACCTTGAGAGCAAGGTCAATGCTAAGGAGGGAGGAATTGTTGGGACCCAAATACCTTCCCCTAACTCAACAAGGGAGTGGAGCAGGCCACTACCCATCAGCAGTACTCAAGGAGGCAGAAAGGACAGGCAACAGAGCCGTAGGGACAGGCGACAGAGCCTCAGAATTAGTTACACACAGAGAGGGTGATTATGCCGACAGAAGATATTCCTCCATGATATTTCCCAGAGTTAGTTATCCTGCCAATCAGAGAATATTCCCTCTATGATTACACCTGTAGGCCAGCTATATAAGGCCACTCTTACAATGAAAGGCATGAATGAATATCCCATGTTTCTCTCTCACTGAATCCCTCTTTTCCTACCTTCCCCTCTCTTCTTCCTCTCCACTTTCTGTTTCAGGAGGTTAAGCCACCCTTGAAGGGGCTTCCGAGGTGAGCGGTATCTCACCACAAAATGACAGATAGAGCTTTAAATAGTAGCTTTTTGAGGGGTTCTCAGGGAGGTGATGGTGTTGGGGTCCTCAGGAAGGAAGAGTTTAAGTTCCATCTAGTGGATTGGAAGAAGGTAGCCAAGCCCTTAAAATAAGGTGGTTTAGGGGTCAGAAGTGTAAAAAACTTCAACATTATTCTATTAGGAAAATTATGCTGGTGTTTAGTGTAGAAATCAACAGCTTATGGAGAAAGGTGGTCAAAGCAATTTTTTTTAGTAGTAAAAGAAAAAAAGGAAAAAATAAAATACAAAAAGAATGGCCTAGCAAAAAAAAAAAAAAAAAACAGGCTGACATGCATACACTATAAATCATATATAAACCACCCAAAAAATAGCCAAGCCCCAAAATAACCAGCAAACCCAGAGCAATAACTACCAAAGCACTAAACAAAATCCTTTAACACCAAGAACCTCCAACGAGGACCAAAGGAGCACCCATAGGCCCTACCAAACCTACCATAGCACTGAAGAAATACCACCATAACAAACCCTCAAAGAACTGAATTATTTCCTCTCCCTCCCTTTACTCTGCCCTTGGAAGCAATATACAGATCTATGGGACCTCTAGTTGGAAGGGTATTGAAAGGATTTATCCAGTTCTCTGAAAGGGTATCCAGTACAAGGTAGGTGAGGGATAAAGGATTAGATTCTTGTATGGCAGGTGGTGTGGGCAACAGCCTCTAATGGATGTGTTTCTGTTCCCTTTTCTTGGTGGCACAGAATAGGGAGGTGATGGTTAAGGATTTGTACTCAGCCACAAAGGGCTTAGTTTCCAGGAATCCCATTTTAATAGGAATGTTAATGATTGGGAGGTGGAGCAGTTGATGCATCTCCTCCAAACAATTCAGTAAGATCTTTCTATAAGAATCTATAGGAAGCTGCTTGTGATTTTCCTGCTAGAAAAATTTGGAAATCTTGTGCTTCTTCAAAAATTAAATTTTTGTATGGACTGCAGCCCTAGAAAAGGGTTTTGGCTCGGGACAAGCTATTGAACGGGTATGCTACTTGATTTGGTGGAATGTGTTCCGTTTGGAGGTCTTGGAATCTGCAGATCCTTCAGCATATTCAATACCTCTGGTAGTTCTGATCCTTCTCCCCTCTTCTGAGACCCAAATCCCAGTTCCAACCATCGGAAGAGGTAGAAGCAAATTTGGCAACTCTTTCCCCTTTGAAGGTTGTTGCCCAGATAATTCCATGATGAGCAATAGAAGACTTGTGGATGATATTTGTTTGTGGCTGTTCTGTCCTACCTATGTGGAGCATCTCCTCATTTTATTATTGGGGGAGGAGGTAGGGCCAAAACTGAGATTAATCAGGCCATGTTTGGATTGTGCGAGCCTTAACTGATTCTGTCATATTGCCATCCTTAAGCTCAAAGAGTGATTGGTTAAGCTTTTGTTCACTTTCAAGGGCAAGGAAGGAAATATTCATTTTATATAACCACACCCCAATATTTGGAGTGAGTCATTTTGTCTCTCATACATGCAGATGCATTACTGGCATAATTTATTTCCCAATAGTGACAGTTGATTCTTGTTTTATTTTGTTTCAGACGTCAGTGGGTTAGAGAAGAAGATCTGGCAAAGGATTTGAAATTGCACTCGAAACAACTACGCCGCACTTTACGATTTTTTGAAGAAGAAAAGCTTGTCACCAGGGATCACAGGAGAGAGGTCAATAATTTTAGTAACTTCTAGTATTTTTATTTACATATGTTGTTTGATATATTCATGTAACAGCAATTCTGTCACTTCCATTCTGTTTTGTGTTTTGTTTCTCTTGTTTTCAGTATTTGACCACCTAATTTTCTTTTATAGAAATCCTGTTTATTACCATTATCCTGAAAATGATGTAGATTCAAACAGTAATAATTACATGGAAAAATTATGCATGCATTCCAAAATTTAGTAGAAACTGCACTTGTCAATGTTTGATGTCAAGAATGAACTGGTCATTCTGATATTTTCTGTTTTGGGTATTTGGTGAGTCTGTATCACTTAAATTGTGTCCTTTGATACTTTGAGGTTGCTTCAGGTCTTGTTATAAATTTGTATGGTAAGATCAAGGTTATTGGAATAGGGAAAGACAGAAATTAGATAGTGTGCTAGAAGAATAGGATGCTACTTGGAATGGTAGGGGTTGTGGTGTGGGACAATTGACAAAAGATTAATATTATTTTTTGGTAGTAAAATAAACATTTTATTAAAAGAAAAAAAGAAGACTTTAATGAAGGTGACAAGAAGTTGAAAGGGCTAATACTAAATATGGTGAAAATTTTCAACCCAAAGCAAGTTTGAAGTTGAAAACTTTTATATCAAGAAAATTGCTGAAAGCTGAATTTGCTGAAACATCTCAGATCTCACTTGGGAGAAACAATTTCTTCATTTTAAGATCAAACATAGAGTTGAATCACATTATTTCATACCCAAAGAGGGTTAGAATAATACCTCAATGTGATGGAGAATGGTCACAGCAAATGCAACACCAACTGTGAAGTACATGCCCATGTCTTCTAGTGCTTCTCGCCAATTAGATGTGAAGGTTAAAGATGGCACTACCTCCACCCAATCCAACTGTTGTCTCCTCTTGATTTCAACAACAAATTGCAATAAGAGTTGCTTCTTTTAGTGTTGATTTGATCAGCAAAAACCCAACAACTCAATCGTCTAGGATTGCTTGCAAAGGTAGAAGAAGATGGAGACCAAAAGTCTAGATCGAATCTAGAGAGATAGGAGAGTTCCTTAGGCTGGATAATAGAGAATGTGTAAGCTCTTGTAAGAGTACTAAGTCTGCACAATTCCATCTTATAACCTTTAAGAGAGTCTAGTTTAATTACTTAAAGACTTCTCTAATCCAAATAGGAGAGGTCTCTTAATTAGCGAGACTCCTATTCAGCATATTCCTTGACTAGTCAAACTAGACAACTTCTAATTTAATTAGAAACTCTCCAAAATAGTAACTAGCAATCCTAGACACTTTCTAATTGTTTCAAGAGAAGAGTAAGAAGGAAAGACTTGTGTGGTGTAGGACCCACAAGCTATCTATTTGGACCAAATAAGATCCACTCTTGTCTAAGAGAAGATGGGACCCACCTAGGCTGATTTAACTCCCTTCATAAAGGAGAAATCGTTCAAAGTGATTGACTGATTGGGCCTTAAATTCGGCCAATTTATGTCTAATATAAATCACCCAAGTCTACCGCTCTAAGAACTTGGGCCCAAAGGCCCATAATGAAATACATTCATTAGGTAAACGAGACTAAATGAATAATTGCAGTGTACTCTCTCCAGTCTCTACCAATAATATCTTAACATTGGGAATTAGGAAAGAACCTCTTCCCCTAATCTTAAAGCCCAACGTCATACTCTTTTTAATGATGGAACCCGGAAAAACACTTTGCAAACAATTTTCAAAATAAACTATTTATTTATACAATAGTTATTTTGCAAATCAATTTCAAAACAATTTGAAATCCACTGCTGGCACTTTTGCAGTTTCCATCAAAGAGAGCATGTTGGGGATATTCTCTTTGTCTGACAAAGTGGTAGATCCTATCACAATGATCACCAGCCCAAACAACTTACAGGTATTGGTCCTAGAAGGACCCCATTGGTTGGCAATCCAAATTTGCCACTAATCAATAGGTCCAAGAGTGTATTGGAAATGGTCCAGTTCGGCGTTTCATAAACACTCATTGTTTATGGGTTCAGTGGATAGTTTTGATCTTTGACGTAAAAGTTTGAAATAGTTGTTTTCTTCTTTGTTTTTGTTCTAAGGTGATTCCTCTTTTTTTTTTTTTGAAAGGTAAAGTAATAAATTTATTGAATCAGAAAGAATTCAGTACAATAGAAGAGCAAGCCACAAGTAGCTGCTCAGATTACAGGACATGTTACAGATCCCAAATGGATATAGACCTAACTAATTCAGGAACATTCAGTTCTTTAAAATCAGGTGTAACAGACACCCAAGAAATCAGCTTGCTGACGGCCTGCTGCACTATCTCTTCAGTACTCTTAGCTTTATTGCTGAAGATTCTTCTATTCCTTTCAGACCAAATTACCCACATTACTGCCGCAGGAATAGTTCTCCAAATTAAACTTCCTTTTTTCTTCAAACCTTGGAGATTCCAGCAAAGCAGCAGGTCTTTCACAGAATTAGGCATGACCCAATTAAGACCAGCCGCACCTATGAAATGGTACCAGACTTTCGAAGAGATAGGACAATGTAAGCACAGATGGTATGTGGACTCAGACAATAAGCCACACAACCCACACATCGGAGAAAGGAGCTGAATACCCCTTTGTCCAGGTTGAGTCTTGAGAGACATTTGTTCAGCACCATAGTCCAAACAAGGAATATAGACTTCGAGGGAGCACAAGACTTTTTTTTTGATCAATAGGGAGCACAAGACTTTCATACCTGCTGGTAGGGGAACTCAGTAACCCTCGTACTACTAAGCTTCAAAGTAAGGGATTTGACTGAGAAACAGCCATCGTTACTCCAGGACCAGCTCTATTCATATTCACCTGCAATGTCTATTGTCTGCTCCTGTAAAATCTGCAGAAGCTGCATCACACCTTCTATTTCCCAATCAAATAATTATCTTCTGAACTGAGGATTCCAGATCACTGAGTTAGAAATCACATAAGACTCTGCCACTGATATTTCTTGATTAACTGTACATTGGAACAGAAGGGGAAACGCCTCAGCTAAAGGTCTGTCCATGCACCAGGGATCTTTCCAGAATTTCAGCCTATTTCCACTTCCCACCTTAAACCTCACTCCCTCATACATCACAGGAAGAGATTTTAGAATCCCTTTCCAAACCGAACAACCCATGCTGGGTATGGATCCTGAGACTTCCAATTACCCCAATCCACACCAAATTTTGTTGCAATTAGGGACCTCCACCAAGGTGATTCCTCATTATCCATTGTTCTTTGATGTAATCTTCTTCTTCTTAATAATTCTTCTTTTTTTTTTTTATTTACTACAACAAAAAAGTGTTTCATAAACATCCATACTTATACCTTGGGTCTAATCCTAGCAGTTGAGACCCCTGACAAAGCATAAAGTGCCCCTTGTACTTTTTTTTTGCACCTTGTGCATTTAAAAACATTGGGGGAAATTATGTTGCTCAAGACTTTCCTTAGCCTGTTGGCTAATACCTTTGCTATGATTTTGTAAATGCTGCTGATTAGGTTCATAGGTTGATAGGCCTATAGTCTTCGTCTCTTGCCCCTTGAATCTTTGTGATTAGAAGGATGAAGATTGAATTTGCTGCATTTGAGATAGAGACCCCATGAAATTTCTTCATAACCTCCAAAAAGAACCTGTTTTAGAAAATATCAATATCTCTCTTCTAGTAATCAATTAGGAACCCGTCGGGGTTGGGATCTTTGTCTCCCACTAGATCATTCATTCGTTGCAATAAAATATCTTCTTAAAAGGCAATGGAAGTTGTAAAATCATTATTTTTTATGTGAGAAATAAGAATTTCAGACCCTAACATAGACTTGTTCGGGCTTGCCTTGAGGAGCGTGCTACAAAGGCGACTCATAGAATCAAGAATGCAATATGTTTTACATCACATTAACTACTTGAAGCAATGCAATTAAGGAAAAAAAAAGAGATTGTGGGTTTTACATGCTTGAAAATGCTTTATATGTTTGTTTTTATTTTTAAATTTTCATTTGAATACACTTTACATGTTATGTTTATGTATTTTAATTTTAGATAATAGGTTTTTTAAATCATTTATTTTAAAATATAAGTTTATATTTTTATTAACATTATGTTTAATATTTTTACAAAATTTTTGCATTTTTTTAATTTTTTTTTGGAATTTTCTGACATTTTTTTAGCTTTTTTTTTTAATTTTGCGCCTTTCTTAAAAAGGCGTGCGCCTCGCCTTGCGCCTCAGGCACAAATTGGCCCTTGCGCTTTTAAAACATTGGGTTGATGGCCCAATGTCTCTCTATTGTGACAACAAGGCAGCCATTAATATTGCAGACAATCCAATTCCTCATGACAGGACCAAGCACATTGAAGTCGACAAGCACTTCATAAGGGAGAAAGTTGAAAAGGGGGAAGCTTGTACTCCTTACATCAGTTCCAAGGAACAACTAGCTGATGTCCTTACGAAGGGTCTTCACTATTTGCGACATAATGAACTGTGTGACAAGTTGGGCATAATTGACATATATGCTCCAACTTGAGGGGGGAGTGTTGTAATGTGTATGTAGAGGCCTGCGGCCTACTAAGGGGTTTTTTGTCTTTTTCTCAGTGTATTAGTTATGAGCTGTTGCCCTAAGTAAAATATTAACTTAGGCGCCGCCAGCTACAGTACTTTTGAATAGATTTCTCTTTTCTCTCTTCTCTCTTCTCTTCTCCCTTCTCTCTTCTAGGTCTGCCGAACTACAGAATCATTTGCCAGTACAACCTGCATGACTGCACCTGAACTGGGTCTTTTCTAGTACCCTTTCTAACTTCTTAAATAGCTGGCATATTGAAGGTCTATCTAGCAATGGTACACTTATTTGGGCCCGGGGGAGTATGCTTCCTGCAGATGTGTTCTGGACTACTTGGATGGAGAGGAACAGCAGGATTTTTGAAGGAAAATCTTCTCAAATAGATTAAATCATACACAACATGTCAGCAAAGATTTTCTCTTGGTTGTGGGAGACTCTCTGAGAACTGAAATTATGGCTCTACTACAAGGCTTGAGATTGGCTAAGCAATGGGGATTTCAGAACTTTGAGGTGGAGGGAGATTCTAAACTGTTAATAGGATGGCTGCAGACAAAAAATCTGGGTGTAAGGACTTTCAGACAACAGATAAGGGAAATACTGTGCTTAGCAAGGGAGGCTGGGGTAATATTCAAATGGGTAAGGAGATCAGCCAACTCTGTGGCTGATGGTTTGGCAAAACAGGGGACCTTCAGGGAGAACTTTTTCTGGGCTGTATTGTAACTTTCTAGTTTGATTGGGGTCAACACTCATTTTCTGAGTGGTTGACAATGTATGGTGATGAATTACTAATTTTAATGAAAGTCACTGTTTCCAATCATTAAAAAAAGATTTTCTCTTGGGCAAAGGCTTCAAAATCACAAGTCACAACCAATGCCCTCTTTTGTAATTACTATATTTTCTGTTTTTTGGCTATTCTCACCTCTTGTAGAGCGACTCACTGTAATGGGTTTACCCATTCTATACCCTTTTTTTTATAGGCACATTTTATACAATTAGTACAATATACTTTTTCTCAAAAAATGCATATTTTTTTTGAATTTTTTGAATAGGAAATTATTGGAATGTTGCAGTCTATACACTGGTTGCCATGCTTAATAGTTTACTAAAGAAGTTCATGGTCATACACATATTGCTTGCTCCATGTTATTTATACTAATTCATCTTTTGGTTTATTTTCTGTTTTATTTCATTGCAGACAGCTAAAGGTGCAAAAATTTTTAGTGCTGCAGTAGCTGCTACCAGTGATGGCCAACAAACTGGGAAGGAGGGAGAAGAAAAGCAGAAGATGCACACACACTCTTATTGTTGTTTAGATTATGCACAGGTTGCTCTTTTTTATAAATCTACTCATATCTCTTAATGAAGCTTGGTTTTTATTTGATAACAAGGCTCCATGGCGAAGATTATATATACTTTTGCCTTTTCTTTCTTTAATATCAGACAAATAGTTAAAAAAATATTGGATAAAGTTAGCTTTTCAGATAGGCATGCGGCAAGTGGGGGAATGATTGAAACTACTGTGTTGAAAGTACCTAAATTAGCTTGCTTTTTTTTTTTTTTTAAATTTTAGATAACAAATTTCCATCAATAATCTTGATTTGCTACCATTTATGGGAGTTTCATTTTCATATCCCATGTTCTGTGTAAGTCTTGGTTCAACTTTTGGGCCTTTGTTTCTCTAGGTTGTATCCACATATTTAGATGGGCATTGATATCATCAAGACCATGGGGATTATTTGGAATAAATTTGTGTTATTGTCCTGGACAGTTAGCACCATTATGAACCCACTATTACCTATATTGTTTTTTTATATACTAATTGATAAAAGAATGTTGAAAGATTTGGGCTACTGTATCTGTTGAAAGGCCTAATAGTGAATATGTTGCAGATATATGATGTTGTGAGGTACAGGTTGCATCGTATGAAGAAAAAATTAAAAGATGAATTGGAGGACAGAAACACAGTTCAGGAATATATATGCCCTGATTGTGGGAGAAGGTCTTAATCACTTCTTTCTTTGCTTCTACTTTCCATTTATGTATTGTTGTATCGGCATATTTTCTTAATACTCCAGAATTATGCGGTATTCTGTGTTCAGGTATAATGCTTTTGATGCAATGCGGCTGGTTTCCCCCAACGATGAATATTTTCATTGTGAAAATTGCAATGCTGAACTTGTTGCTGAGAGTGACAAATTGGCTGCAGAAGAAATGGGAGATGGGGATGATAATGCGAGGAGGAGAAAGCGTGAAAAGTTGAGGGATATGCTTCAAAAGATGGAGGCTAGTATAGTCGTTCATTATAAGATATATACTGTTTTATTCTCGAGACTGTTTCAATGTAAAGGGGATGGGGAACTTTTCAAATTGAAATGTTTCAGCTATTATTTCCACCCCCTTTTTATTTAAAATGTTGTTCTGTCTTAAGATGTTAGTCTTTCAATCTTGTTATCTGAATAATCGGGTCTTTAGGAAGTATTGGAATTAATAATTCCCGATCTTTCTTTATAGTCCAATATGCCATGTTCTATGTTGATTTTGATGTTTATGTGGAATAAATACAGTTGCATTTCCTACCAGTTGATTGCTTCAATACCTTTAACAGTTTATTTAATTGGAAATCATTTCTATATTAGTATTTATACATGTAGATATATTGCTAAGTTACTAATATACATATGTTTGCATTTACCTTTTTTACATCATGGATGGATATAGCATGAATGCAAGCTCATGCATATGCATGATGCAGTCATGCTTGTATATGGCTATGATTTATAGAAATATGTTCAATTATTTATTTTCATGTTTTCCTTTTTACATAATTTTTAATCAATTTGCTTCAATATGATAGATACTTGTAGTTAATTTTTTTGACCAGTAACTGTTAGTATATTGATATGTTAAAAGGAACAGTTAACAGTGTAATAATTATGTGCCAAAAACATCCCTTCATTTTGACTTCATGTAATTTTGAGTTTTTCTTAATGGTGAAACTGGATTCATGTAGCCGACCCCATATAGTTGGGACAAGACTTGGATGATGCTGATACCTCTTTACTAGTAGTTGAATACTTATCATTTTATCTCTGAAGTTTCACAGTAAATGAATTATTGCCCTTTTCCTTCCTAAATTGGACAAGCTGGAAATCAATGCAGGTACAACTAAAGCCATTGATGGATCAACTTGCCAGAGTGAAGGACTTGCCTGTTCCTGAATTTGGAAGTCTCCAGGCATGGGAAGCTCGAGCAAATGCTGCTGGACGTGCAGCTAATGGTGATTCTGGTGCTAATGATTCATCTAAATCATCTCAAGGACAAGGTTATGGTGGTACACCAATGCCATTTCTTGGTGAAACAAGGGTGCTCCCCCTCTCCCTATCTAAAATTTAATAGCTTTAGGTTTTGCATGAAATGGTTTTCTGTTTTGATACTTGTATGCTACGCACATGCAAGTGGTCTGATATTTAGGATGAAAACAAGTTCTTAAGCACTTCATTCAATCTTTTATAGAGAAACCATTCCAGGGCATTCAGTTTAACTTTTTCTTTGGTTTTTTTGTACTGAATCCTTATTTCTATGATTTCTCACAAGAAATACTCTTGTATATTTCCACTATACAACTTTTTAATGTATATGAGCTGATGCATCTTTTTGGCTATACTAATACAACTTTTTCAAAAGAAGTTATTAGTTTCAGTCAACTACTCCTTTTATTTTTTATTTTTGGTAAAAACAATTACTCTTTTTATATGTTTATATTTCTTGAGTTTCTATGCCTAGGAGTTTTTGGGATCCTAATTAGGAGTGAGCTGCAGTTTTTGTAATTGCTAAATTTCTATTTTAGTCAAAGCTTTGAGGAGTTTGTTATATATCCAATAGAATTGAATGAGAATTAAGCTAGATTTTATTCTTCTTTGTAGAGCCGCTTTTCTTCTCTTCATGAAATAAGTCTTGGAGAAGCACATAATTTCTTCTTTTCTCTTTGCCATTTTCTAGTAGTTATTTTCTCGTAGAAGAACAGAGCCTACTTTTGGGATTTTGAAGCAAGGCTACTCATCGACCTTGTCTCTTTTTTTTTTTTTTTTGTAAAAGGTAAGGTATTGTATTAAAACGCAAAAAGAAAGAAGATATACAATCAGCTCCAATTCCCTGTACAATGAGAAGCTATACTGGAGGAAACCCCCAAAACTCAAAGCACAACTACTAAGCATTTAGACATTTACAGATAAAACTATCCAAAAATAAACTCTTTGTCAAAAAAAAGTAACTGTATGTCTAGATTTAAAAAGTGAGTGATCAGCCAACCATAATACAGCATGCCCATTATATTTTTAAGAACTTCCTCCTTTGAAATGTGATGCCCTTCGAAGATTCTCTGATTCCTTTCACGCCAAACTACCCAGAATACAGCTGCAGGAACAGTGTTGCAAGCAACTCTTCCAGCCTCAGTTAGACCCTTTAGCCACCAAGCAAGCAAAAAACTCTTCACATCAGAAGGAAAACACACCTTAACCCTGAACAATTAGAGGTTTCTGTGCTTTTATTGCACAAGACACAACTTTCATCCTGCACTTGAATGCCCCTTCTAACTAGGTTTTCTCTAGTCTGAATTCTGTCTAACACTGCTGACCTCACAAAAAAAGACACTACTGAAGGGACATTCCTTATCCAAATCTTCTTGTCCTGGAAAAGAAAACTCCTCCCTTGTCAGGCTGTTATAGAAAGATTTGACAGAGAAAATTCCTGAGTTTTCAAATCTCCATTTTCTTTTGTCCTCCAAAGCTCCATTTAATCTGACACTGTATAAAGTCTGCAGCAAACTTAGGAGAGAGTTTACCTCCCAATCACTAGGCTAGTTCATATCAGAGCTAATATGCCTCCTAAAAAGGCCTTTGAAGTTTGAACTTTGATCTTATTTCCAATGGAAAATCCAGCAAAGTTACTATGAAGACAAATAAAGGAATTATTGTTGCGGCAACAAGAGATGATATGGCAACGAGAAGAGAGACACAAACAACACAAACAAGACCTGTTACAACATGAGCAAGAGTTTAAGGTAGAGTTGATCACACAATTAAGAAGTTGAATTAAGCAGCAGGCACAACCCTAAAAAACCACATTCTAGTCAGTCAAAAGAGTTTGTTGGGGAACCCAACCTCAGAAATCTATTTCAGATGCTTTACTAGCTTAGCAGGCCTATCTCGACTTTCATAGTGTTAGTCTTGGTCAAGGTCTTCTTCAGTCCACAAAATCTAAAAAATAACTTTTCTATCTACTATCAAACAAGCCAATTTTCCCAAACTAATAACTAATAAGGTTGGTGTGAAGCGCTTTTTCTATGGAGAATGGAGTCATGTTGTAGCAGACTGCATGCATACCCAACACGCACTATTTGTGCAAGAAGTTAGAGAGATTGAAAATCAATTACAGCTAGAAGAAACTGAAGGTCCTAATAAAGAAAAAACAAAGGATACAAATCATGTTCTCTATGAAGACTTCTGTGGTCCTAGTTTAATTAATAGACGATTATATTATGTTCCAAAGGGTAACAATGAACTTTTGTTGAACCATAATATCTTTCCCATTAAGTACACTATTCCTGGTCATTGTGCCACACTTAATATTAGACCCAGGTAGGTGTGAGAATGTAATTTCCCAACTCCCAATAAGTTCAACTTGAAGAAAGAGCTTCATCCACAATTTTACATGCTTGTATGATTGGATAAAGACCATGAGGTAAATGTTATTAAATATTGTCTCGTGTCATTTACCATTTATGATGCATATAAGAATACTTGTGCTGTGATGTCCCCATGGATGCACACCATCTTTTCCTCGGTCGACCTTGAGAGTTTGATAGAAAAATTAAGCATGATGCTAGACCAAGAGCTATACCTTTTATAAGGATGGTAAAAAGTTTACCTTTATGCCTTCTAAAGGTGAACAAGAACTTGAAAAAGGGGAAGAACATAGTATGTCTTTCTAGACCTGAATTTAAGCATGGGCTTAAACAATAGAAGATTGTATTTGCTCTTCTCATAATAACAAGGTAGTGATGGTGTTCCAGAACAAGTACAACCCCTATTAGAAGAGTTTAAGGATGTTTTGACTGACGAATTGCTACCTAAATCGCCTCCTATGTATAGTGTGCAACATCTTATTGATCTTATACTTGGTGCATTCCTTTTCAATAAGCCTCGTTACAGGATGCCACTAAAAGAGCAAGCTGGTCAACACTGTTATAAACTTGTCTTTGAAGTTGGAGATGAAGCGTAGGTGCATCTTTCTAAAGAGTGGTATCATAGTGGAGAGCATCATAAGCCCCTTAAAAGATTGGTCCTTGTGAGGTTCTAGCAAGGATTATTGATAATTTCTACAAAGTAAAGTTGCCACTAGATTTGCAATAGTTGTCATTTCCAATGTATGACATTTTTTACTTTATATTATGGGGGGACCATGATAGTGAGAATTAGAGGGCACGTTCTTTTCAGGTGGGTGGGGGTGTGACTGATGTAATTCAGCCATCTATAGAAATAGAGGATACAACGAATCAATTTCTAGAGAGGTTTGAGCATCCTGAAGTTACTAAAACATATGAGAGGAGGAATAATTGCCTACATCCAGATTTGGATGTTGATGGCAGTTTCTAAATTTAAACTTTCTATTTTTATGTTTTCAAACCATCTAGTGTTTTCTTTTTGAGTGTCCAATTTTTTTTTGAAGGTCTGCAATTAGTATTTTCCTATTTTCTTTAGGAATTTATTAGTTTAAGCGAAATACTATTTTTTGAGTTTTTATTCTTAGAAGTTCTTAGGACCCTAATTAGGAGTCAGCTGTAACTTTAGTAATTGCTAATTTTTGACTTAATCAAAGCTTTGAAGGGTTCTATATATACATGTAAATATATCTAGAACAGAGGATTGTAAATTTGTATATATGTTCCTCATCTTAATGAATTTCATATTAATTATCACACACACACACACACACACACAAAAGTGAAGGCAAGCTTTGCTTGGTATAGATCAACAGAAGTGCTTGGCTGCTTGCCTGCTTGCTGATGCGATGTCTAGGAAAGGGGTGAACAGGGCACAAATGTTCTGGGTCCATTTGATATAAAAAGCAAAGTATAGGGTGAGGAAAATGCCTCAATAGGGTGATTGACACTTACTTCTTGGGGGATGCTCAGCATTCGCATATACTCATTCTTTTAGGCTGCATTTGGCATTCCTTATTTAAAAGACTTTTCTCCTCAAAAGGGGCAAGTCCTTAAACTAAGAAATGTCAAATGCAGCCTTAACATAATTAATAAAATTCTCAGTTCCCAATCAAAGAAAATGAGTGATTTAATTTTTGTTTTTTCCTTGTAGCTACCTTTCTTCTCCTCTTGAAATCAGTGTTGGAGAAACATGTGACTTCTTTTCTCTTTGTTATTTTATGATAGTTCTTTGCTACTGGAAGAAAGCCTGCAAGGCAGCAACTACTGTATGGATTTTTCCCTATATTCAGAGCCTACTTCGTGGAATTTTGACTCAAGGCTATACACGTTGCCTTCTATCTACCAGCCCATATGATTGTTTCTATGGCAACTTCACTTCTTATCCCTGTAACCAACCAGTTGGTCTTCAGCTAGTTTCTATAATATTTTCCATCAAGGAAGTAACTGAATAAAATATTTGAGCTAATAGTTATTCAGCTTAAGATTATAATAAATTTGCAATATCTATAAACAGTTTTATGACTGTCTCTTGGCAGGTTGAAGTTGCTTTATCTGGTGTTGAGGTCAAGGAAGAAGATAGCAAGCCCGATGCTGCATCTACATCTATGAAAGTTTTGCCTCCTTGGATGATTAAGCAAGGAATGAACCTTACAAAAGAACAACGTGGGGAGGTGAAGCAGGAACCAAAAGTTGATCATAATTCAACACCTTCAGGATTGTCTGATGACAAGAAGTCAAAAGTTAATGACAAAGAGGATGAAAAGGACATACAGGTTGTTACAGAGAGATGAATGCTGGATTCTTTTTTCTGATTTTTTATATATCTACCTTTTATCAGTAAGTTTAAGGAAAGCCATTTTTATATCTGTTATTTCTAATCATTGTCATCATCATCTAAGCCTTGTCCCAACTATATGGTGTTGGCTACATGAATCCTGTTTTGACATTCCTTTCTGCTCAGTGCCATACCATTGTTAAGTTATGGGTGCTTAAATCTTTTTTTTTTTTTTTTACTTTCAATTTCTTTTTGGTCTGCTCCTAGCTTTTCTAGCCCCTTCAACTTGTAACAGATCACTTTTTCCTAACAAGCACTGTAGGTTGTCTTTTATGGACATGACTAAACCATCTCAATCTATTCTCTCATTTTATCACCACCTATTGGAGTTACTCCTAGGTTCATATGAATTCGTTTCTAACCCTGTTCTTTCAAGTTTTAGCATTCATCTATCTGAGCATTCACATTTCTGCCACACTATTTTTGGACACCTGTTTCTTAACTGCCCAACACAGACTCTGCTCCATACAACATAGTTGGCCTTACATCTATTTTATAGAATTTTCTTTTCAGTTGAAGTGGTATTTGCCTATCACATAAGACTGAGTGCACCCCTCTATTTTGTCCATCCTCTAATTCTATGGGTGATGTTCTCCCCATTTTCTCCTTTGTTATGAATTATTGAACCAAGGTAATTGAAGAGGTTACATTGAGTTATCTCTTGATCTCCACTCCTAAGTGTACCCTGGCTTGCACTCCTATTATTATTAAATTTACATTTCATGTATTCTATTTTAGTCCTAATTATTTTAAACCTCTTATTTCTAATGCAACTGTCCATAAACCTAATTTTGCATTTAATCCTTCACTAGTTTCATCAATTAATACTATTTCAGCAGCAAACATCATACACCATGGGACCTCCTCTTGAATATGTTTAGGTAATTCATCCATGACTTGTGCAAATAAACAAGGACTAAGTGCTGAACCTTTGTGAAAAACCATTGTAACTGCAAAATCAGATGTCTCTACTACAGGTGCCCTAACATTTGATTTTGTACCGTCATACATATCATTAAATAGGTGCACATTATACCTATTTGAGACTCCTTTGTTTTCCAAAACCTATCATATTGCCTCTCTAGGTATCTATAGTATGCTTTCTGTAGACCAGTGAAAAACCATATGAAGATCTCTGTTTTTCTCTCTGAACTTTTCTATCAATCATCCTAGTAGAAAGATTCCTTCCATGGTTGATCTCCCTATGATTTCTAACTTTTTTTTTTAAGCTCAGTTCATTGGTATTTTCTGACCTTTTTGCAGGATGCATACATTCAAGCTTATTATGCTGCATTTATCAAGAGGCAACAGGAGCAAGAAGCTGAAAAGAAGAAACAACAAGAATTGGAGAATGCAAGTAATGCTCCTAATGACATATCTTCTGATCGTAAGGTTGGAATGAAATCAAAACGTCAAGAGGATGAGAGGGATGATGATGTTGAGTGGGAAGAGGCTCCAACTACAGGTATTCATCAATAAACTCTATCCACACTTTCAAATAGCTCTCTCTAGAGGAAATCTTATTCTGCATAGAACACTACAAGCATTATCTTTATGCACCATATGAATTCAATATTCTTTTCTGGGAAGATGTGATTGCTATTAAAATGACTTGTTTCTGTATGCAAGAAGTAATTGGATGGGCTCTAAATGGTGTCAAGTTTCATGGTCTAAAACTCATGATTAGGATGGGCGCTTGTATATCAATTGGGTTCCTCTTAAAATTGAAGAGAAATCATTCTTGTTATCAGATGAAACATTCTTATTTGTCATCTACATCTAGTTCATTATTTTTATTACTCTAGGGGTCCGTTTGGTTTGTTGTCGGAATCAGAATGGTTTATTCCCATAGTCCGTTTAGTTCAGAAGGAATGGGAATGAAAATTGGAATCAGCAGGAATGAGATTTCATTTCTGAGGGGGAGGGAATGGCCATTCCCTCAAATGGGAGAATGCCATTCCACCAGGAATGGGAATGGGATTCCAATTCCGCCCAACCAAACAGTTGGAATAAGAATAGCCATTCCGATTCCAATTCCAGACCCCTATTCCTGCAAACCAAATGGGGCCCAATTCAATTTCAAGTGTCTTAGTTTATCTCTAGTATCTCATTATGTACATGAGAAATGTTTTCTTTTGGTCAATTTGTTTTGTTCAAGTGGCTTAGTATCCATTTTCCTTGTTTCTTTTAAGAAGATCAAGAGTATACTTCCTTTGAAATATAGACGATCCCCTCATGGACCTTGTCACTTTAATGCCCAAGAAATATTTAAGATCTCCACGAATCTTCATTTGCAAACTTAGAGGCCAAAAAAATCTTAAGCTTCTCAATCTTCACATGATGATCACTAATAACAACTATTATCAACATATACAATAAGAGCAGATGTAGGACCATTTTCAAGCTTAACAAAAAACGTATGATCTGTCCAGCTTTGAGTGCACCCAAATTGCTTGATAACAATACTAAATCATTCAAACCAAGCTCTTGGAGTTCAACCTGCAAACCTTCCTTGAAGGTATCACAACACCAAGAGGAGGAAGCATCTACACTTCTTTTTTCAGTTCACCATGGAGAAATCTAACTAATACAGAGGCCAAGATTTATAAGTAGCCAAAGCCAATAGAACCCTTATTGAATTGTCTTAGCAATAGGAACAAAAGTTTCTATATAAGCAATACCATAAGTTTTGGTATAACCATTTGCAACAAGTCAAACCTTGTACCTCTCCATAGACCTATTTGATTTGTATTTAAATATAAAGACCCTTCTACACCCAACTGGTTCCTTCCCTTTCATAAGATCCACCAATTGCTAGGCTTCATTTTTAATTAGAAGCCCCATTTCATTATTTGTGGTAGCTTTCCATTTTGGTTTAGGAAGGGCTTTAGATACACTTTTAGGAATAGGAATGGATGATATGGCTGTAAGGAAGGTTTTATAAGACAGGGATAAATGAGAGTAGGAAATAAATCTTGACATAGAATGTAAAGTACACTCCCTAACTCCTTTTCTTTGGGCAATAGGAAGATTGGGGCCATCAACATGAGATTCAATGTGAATAGGAGAGTCATCAATAGGAATATTGAGTAAAGAACCATCAATAGACATTGAAAACGGAATAACTTGGGAAGGTACTACAAGGAAAATGGAACATGGCAGAACTAGGCGTTTCCAAGGAAGGTATTGTGATGGTGAGAGTGCAGGGAGGTCTGATTAAGGTCTTCGTTGAGGAAAACAGAGTCCAAGAACATGAGAGTTTTCTTCGAATATGTCTGGTTCTTCATTTCTCTGGTGCATCCCTTCAAACAAAGAGGTCGAACCTGCTCTGCCTTGCGATGGAGGAACCTACAGAAACTGACGGTGAGAAAGATGGAAGGGAATAAGTGGCTCATCGTCTTTGCGTCGGAGGAAGAAGCTAGCTGGTCTCTCTTGTCCGGCTTGTCATCGTTAAATGGCCTGCAAGTCTTACTATCGTGTTGGTCTCTTCGAGGTTGCTCGGAGGGGCTTGCGAAAGGCTTTGGGAAATGGTGGATTAGAATATTCGACGTACCCCTCTCAGCCTGGTGCCCTGCGGTGTTCAAGGAGATCGGAAATGCGACTGGTATCGCAGTAGATCCGAGTAACTCGGCATGGAGAAACCTCGAAGCCCTTTATCTGCTGGTCTGGAGCGGGTCAGTGAAAGATATCCCTAAATCCTTAGAACTGGTGGTGGGGGGCTTGAGATACCTCCTACTGGTCGCAGTAGAGGACTTTGAATAAATTGATAAAAAATTCTTAACAATTCTTGGCACTTCATCCCTGGAGAGAAAAGCATATAACCAGACATATCTTGTGCAATCATTCACAAATATGATAAAACATCGTATGGCACCCATAGCAGAAATAGGAAAAGGTCCACGAGCATTAAAATGAACAATATCAAAAGGAGCTAAACTTCTTTTATTAGTATGGTACAATGATGTTCTACATTGCTTTGAATACTGATACACTTCACAACAAAGACTACACACTGACACAAACAAATAATTCAGGATTAAAGACAATCAGCAACTGAAATTAAGATGACCCAATCTAGAATGCCATGGAGATATGCTAAACTTATTTGGATGCTGATTGATGTATTCCAAGGCAGATGACTGACAAGAGTCTAGAAGAATTTGAGGCTCTGGTGGTCTGTGCGTATAGTAAATTGCCACCCTAGAGGGTAGGATCTCCACTGTTGGACAACTAACACCATGGCTATTAACTCCTTTTTGTAGGCTGATTTGGACATGGTGGAATTTTAGAAAGCTTTGCTAAGAAGGCCAGAGGTTTCCCATCCTGCATAGGTACAACTCCCACCCCTGAATTGGAAGCATCACACTTGATGACACTTTAGAGAAATCTGGTAGGGCTAAGGTGGACGGTGAGGACACAACTGACTTGAAATTTTTAAAGGCCTGCTGAGCTGTTTGCTGTTGGAACCTAGTTGAATGAGCCTTTCTTCAACAACTGAGTTAGCGGGCCTGCTATCCTTCCATAATCTTTATTAAACTGCTGGTAGTAGCTGGTGAGTCCAAGGAATCCCCTGAGGTCCCTAACTGATCTAGGCTCGGGCCATTGAACCATTGCTTCTATCTTTTCTGGGTCTGCTGCCACACTTCCGTTCCCCACAACATGTCCCAAATACTATATCTGAGTTATCCCAAAGGCACATTTGCTTTCTTTAGCATACAAGTTGTTTTCGTTGAGAGTTTTAAGAGCAATCAAAAAATGGACCAAGTGTTGTTCACTTGTTCCCACTTTGGGCTGTACACAAGAATGTCATCAAAGAAACCAAGATAAATTTACTAAGTAGGGCCTGAAGGCGTCATTCATAAGAGCCTGGAAAGTTGAGGGGGCATTTGTTAGCTCGAAGGACATGACTAGAAACTCGTAATGACCGTCATGGGTGCGGAAAGCAGTCTTATGTACATCATCTTCATGGACCTGGATTTGATGATAACCAGCCCATAGGTCAACTTTGGAAAATACCCTAGTCGTATGCAACTCGTCCAAAAGTTCATCAATGACGGGAATGGGAAAACTGGTCTTTAATAGTTACATGATTCAAGGCCCTATAATCCATGCTGAACCATCAAGTTCAATCTCTCCTTTTAACTAGAAATGCGGGTGAGGAGAATGGGTATGGCTGGGTTGTATCAGCTTCTTGTCAAGTAATTCCTGGACCATCCTCTCGATTTCCTGCTTATGGTAGTGGGGGTAATGGTACGGTTTCACATTAGTTGGGACAGTCCCAAGTAAGAGGGGAATCCGGTGTTCATGCATGCGACTAGGTGGTATGCCTGGTGGCTCCTAGAACACTTAGTGAACTCAGTGAGTACGTCCCTTAGTTGAGAAAAATATGGGTGGTCTTCATTGGGCCCAAGGGGCTGTGATATTGCTGGGCTAAGTGTTACAGTTCCCAAGTGCATGAAAATGGGCTGCCCTGGGTCCCAAATTTGTCTGCAAATTGAGGCAATACTCTCCCTCATTGGTCCCCCACCAAAGTGGCCTTGTATATGGATCACACTCCCTTCTTTCATAAAATCCATTGTTAATCAGGCCCAATCACAAAATACTGGCCCAAGTTGTTCCAGCCACTGCACCCCAAGACAATATCGGCCCTACTGAATTCCAATGGGTGAAGGTCAATAGAAAATTGGTGAGCCTGAATCTTTAGTGTCAGCTTAGTGTAAATCCCATCACACTTCAGTTGGCTGCCATTGGCCATGTGCACCATGAAGGCAAGAGTGGGCTACACCACCAGGCCTAGTTACTTCACAAGGGGATGGGTTATAAAGTTCATTGTACTCCCATTGTCAATCAGAATTGCCATGTGGCACCCTTCCAAAAGCCCTGTAACCCTCATAGTTTGGGGGGAAGTTAGCCCAATAAGGGCCTGTAGAGAGATCAAGGGTTTTAGTCTCCTGAGGGTCGGTCATGGAAGTTGGGTATATCTCCTGGTCACCCCCTTCCTCCTCATAGTCAGGCCCTTTGGTTTGTAACAAGAAAGCTTGTTGGGCCTTGCATCGATGCCCAAGCCCAAGCTTCTTCTTACAATTGTAACATAACCATTTCTCCCTCTTTTCTTGCATCTCAGCCCATGTTAGCCTCTTAAAGGGAATTTTAGGTTGAACTAAGTTGTTATTGGGTTTCCCCAAAAGCCAATTTGTTTAATAGCTATACCCAGGTTCTAGTTGATTGGCTCACTTGGCTAGCCCAGTTGCCTGACCCAACTCAATTTCTCTTTCTATAACTGGGCCAGCCTAGCTGCTTCCATCACCATGACAGGTTGCATGGCCTTCAACCCCAACCTTATCTCCTCCTTCAACTCCCTAATAAAACAACCAACTAAAGCCTTGTCTGGTGACTCCAACCACCCTCGTGGGTAGCTAGGCATTCAAACTTCACCTAATATTCCCTAACAGGTCCCATCTGACTGAGTTTTGATAAGGTTTCGTCGTAGCCTACGAATCTTGTTGGCCCAAATCAAGTTGTGACTGTGTCAGTTAGGTCAAGCTAGGTCATCCGAGGATGGGAGCGGTGGTACCATTGGTACCAGAGAACTGCCTTTTCCTTCGAAGTATAGTGAGGCTAAGGGCACCCTATCAGGTCTAGGTACTTTATTATAATCAAAATATCGCTCAACTTGGAAGATCTAGGAAATTGGATCATCGCCAGTAAAAGTAAGGAAAACCAGTTTAATAGATTTATCAGCCATTGCCCCAGGTCGCTGCTCACTACTGGTACTCGATCCTTCTAGCTCACTTTCCTTGCTCCCACCTTGAGACATCTGGTTGACCATGGACAACACCGCCGATAGACACTCTTGTGTTTGCCATGGTGCCTTGCTCTGATACTAGATGATAAGTTCTGCCTATCACAAGGTTCCTTCAATGGGAACCCACCTCTAGAGAAAAAGAAAAGGAGAATTGGAATGATTTGATTGATATACCTTATTACATGGCTGATAAATATTTATATGCTCTATTCAGGCAATTAGATGTGCTCTACTCAGGCAATTACATGGGATTTTTTATCTTATGTCTGGAATCATTCCTGGGAAGCTAGTGCATGTGGCCTTTGATAGTAGACTTGTTTAGTGGTAGGCAATTTGCATGTGATAGGTGAATGGGCTGTGGATGTAGTTGTGGGTCTTGTATGAGTCCTAAGAGGTTGCTTTTCTTGTCCACCCTTCTTTAGGTCTTAAGGACTCATCCTAGGCTTTTCCTATGTGTTTGGGTGGGACCACTCCTACCCAAGATTAGAGTTTTTTGTTGGGCAATATACTAGTTGAAGACCAATTCCTGTGAAACTTTACAAAAAGGAGGTTTAACTGGTGATGTATCCCCACAAATTCCTTCTTTGGGATGCAAATGGGACATTTGCATATCATCTACTAATCCCTCGCACATTTTCCTTCAGTATTTGGAACCGGTTTCTTTATTTGGTTGCAAGTAGACCCCATATAAAGATATTGAAAGTCTTATTCAATTGTCATTTTCTATCCCATCTAAAAGAAGAGAAAAAATCATGTTGAAACGTATGGGAGCAGCTATTGTTTGGACATTTCTATGAAGATGATGTTAGGGTAGTACCATGTGTCAAACTCCTCTACTACAAAGGTGGTTTTAGGGAAAACCAATGTTTTAAAACTAGATTAGCCCGAAAAGTTAGAGTCATGGGCCTGTGAATTAATTACTCTACAGGATAGTTCAACAGTTAACCAGGATGGAACAAAAACCTGAATGAGCCATTAGATCTGGGTGTTTTGTGGAGAAGTGCAACAACAGGTCGCATGCAATCCTGTTTCTTAGTCAATTAATCTTCAATAAATAAGACAAGAACAAATGAAATAAAGAGACGTAACTTGGGTCTAATGTTTATGATTTCTTGAAATAATAAAACAAAGAGAAAATGGATTAGAAGAGAATGATGTTCAATCTCTCTCTCTCTTGTTGAGCTGTGAAAACTATATGTAAGGTAAGACCATTGGTGAAAAGCAATACATAATATATAATATATATATATGTATATCCTATTATATTAGTTCATCAATTGTTTTTAACCCTTATTGAAAGGTAAAAGAGCAAATAGACCTATGGCGGAAAGGAAGCTTTTGAAATTCGATGGTGGAAAGAAGTTTTTTGAAAGGGCTTACTTCTTGGAAGAGAAATTATCTCTCTCTTGGGGGGAGGATTACACTGATTAGGTCTACCCTAGCTAATCTATTTGTCTACTTTTTGTCAATGTTTAAGATCCCTACAAAGGTCTCTAAAAAATTGGAAAGCTGATGAGGGATTTTTTGGGGGAGCCTGGAGAGGAAAAGAGGGACCATTGGGTGGGTTGGGAGGCGGTAACTAGAACTAAGGAGCAAGGAGTTCTTGGGATTGGGAATATTAAGAAAAGAAATATGGCTTTAATGGGGAAGTGGCTGTGGAGGTTTCCTTTAGAAAAGGACAAGTTGTGGGCTAAGATAGTGGCTACCATTCATGGGCTGGAGGACAAAGGCTGAGATCTTAGAATTTTGGCAAGGACTACAAGTGCTTCTCCATGGAAAGCAATCCATGACCTACCGGCTTTCTCCCCTTGGATTAGGTATGATTTGAATTTAGGTAACCTCTCTCTAACATGAAAAATGAGCCTATTTCTTCTTTCCTAGTCCCTTCAGAATCGACCTTTGGCTTTGGGTGGAATCTGGGGCTGAGAAGGGCTGTCAGAGATACAGACTTGGGTAGCACCCTGATCCTCTTGGCCACCCTTGAAAATGGTTTTTTTTGTTCCCTTCAAAGGAAGACTTCAGATTTTGGACCCCCTCTCCCTCGGGATCCTTCTCTTGTGTATCGTTTTTTAAAACCTTAACTCAACAACCTACTGCCCTTGGTTTGCCTTTCCTTGTTAAAGAGGTTTGTGCAAGCCCATTCCTCCTCAGGTTGGGAGTTTTTGTTGGGATTCTTTCCTGGAAAGAATCAACACAAGTGATCTGCTTGAAAGAAAGAGATCCATGACTTGTTTATCCCCACATAACTGCACTCTCTGGAAAGTTGATGAGGAAATTGGATACCACCTATTGGTGTCTTGCCTTTTTGGCTAAAGCTATTTGGGAATGGGTTTTCTCACTTTTTGGGTGTAATTGAAACCCCCCATTGAATGTACAATGCCTGTTTTCTCTATCCTTCTTCAGCTGGCCAATGAAAAGAGGTAGGATCATGTGTAGGTGTATTAGGGCTGCTGTATGCTGGACCTTATGGGAGGAAAGAAATTCAAGAATTTTCTCAGAAAAGGAGAGAAACATTGAGAAATTAATAGAGTTGATCCATATAAGGGTGGCACAATGGCTGGAATTCTTTGACTTATTCACAAGATTTGTCCTTGGATGACCTGTTGAGAAACTAGAAAGAGATAGCAAGTTCTGCCCAGACTAAGAGGGTTCCAAGTCCCTCATGGATATCACCCCCCTTTGGAGAATATGGTAGCTGCATGTAAATCATCCAGTAGCTCATAAATGATTGGAATGGGGAACCGGTTCTTTACTATGATCTGATTTAGAGCCCGATAGTCTACACAAAACCTCCATGTTCCATCTTTTTTCTTGACTAAAAGGACGGGTGCTGAATATGGGCTTGAACTGGGCTGTATGATGTTTTTCTCTAGTAATTCTTGAACAATTTTCTCCATCTCTTCCCTCTGAAATCTGGGGTAGTGATAAGGTCTAGCATTTAATGGAGCTTTCCCCGGGATGATCTCAATTCTGTGGTCCATGGGTCTGGAAGGAGGTCTAACATTTGAGTAACCGTTGGAGTGCTTGTTGGTTTTCCAGTAGCGTGGCTGCTTCCTTTGGACTTGTTAAAACCGGTCTGGTATTCAATCCCATATGCAATAGGAGGGGTTGCTCTTCACTGCAACTAGTCTTGAGGATGGATCTCAATCCTTCCTGTTGTGGTGCATCCTTAGCCACCTTGTTCAGATGATACTTTTGTCCATTAATGGAGAAATCCATTGTTAGTCTTGACCAATCACATACAACCGGTCCCAACTATTGTAGCCACTGCACACCTAATAACACATCTGCTCCGCTCATGTCTAATGGATGGAGGTCTACTAGAAATGAATGTTGCTGTAACTTCAGGTGGACCCCTCTACATATGCTATCACAGCTGATGTTGTTGCCATCCGCTACATGTACATTGAATGACAACACTTGTTCTTGTGTTAGGCCCAATTGTTTTGCTGCCATTTGGGTCACAAAGTTGAGAGATGACCCGCTGTCAATTAGAACTGAAATTGCTCAGCCCTGTATTGACCCAGCCACTCTCATTGTCTGGGTGGAGGTCAGTCTTGTTAATGCATGAAAGGATATCTCGGGTGGGTCTGGCCCATCCGAACTTTCTAATTCAGTAGGTATCGCAATGGGTGTGTAAGGGATTTCCTCCCGAGGTTCAGCTTCATTTGTCTGTAGTAAGAATAGTTGGGGATTCTTGCATTTATGGCCTAGACCGAACTTATCGCCACAGTTATAACAAAGACTGTGATCTCTTCGGGCTTGCATCTCGGCCCAAGATAATCTTCTTAATGGCACTGGGGCGGGTACACTGGCTTGGGCCTTAGGTTGAAGATTTTCAGCCTGCCCATGGGTCTGATTTCTTGTGACTGCTAGGCTGGATCCCAGGATAGAAGGATTACCTGGTCGGTTTAGTTGTCGGTTCCAAGACTGTGGTCCAGAGTTGAATGTGTCCGGTCAACCCAATCTTTTCAGTCGATTAAACCATTCTTCTTGCAATCTTGTCAAACCCATTGTTGCCGATAGGGAGGTGGGTTGGAGCCTTGGAGGGACTTCACTTCTATTCTTATTTCTTCCTTCAGGCCGCCGATGAAGTAGCCAAGCAATGCAGTTTCAGGCCACCCATGAACCCTTGTCGACAGCCTTTCGAACTCGACTTAGGCATTACCTTAACAACTAGGAGGAGTCATTGTGAAATTGTGAGAGTCATAAGATATTACTACTCTTTACTTTGTAGCTCATTTAACATAAAGTGTGCTCATCATCTAACTCATATGCAATGTTATGCAACTCCATCAGTTCTTTAACATCAATAATTTTTATTTGTTATTGTTGGCTATCGACATGATTAAAGTTGACTTCAATATCATTGTTTTAAAGAATGGCCATGCATTTTTAAGTCCGATAAGATTAAGTTGTGAATTGTGACACAGACTTCCTCTGGGAATTGGGTCCTTGTAATTCAAATAATAATGACCTTATTTTCATCTTCACTACAGGCACAAGTGAAACTCATAAATTAAATGACTTGAACGTTCAAGCTGATGCATCTGGAGATGATGAGGATGACATAGACTGGGAGGAAGGTTAACATGCTATTGATTATTATTCCAACAAGCTTTGTTATGGAAGATGGATGTGAGGAGGTCTAGTTTTCTACAACTTGCAGTTTTATGCTCTCAAAATCTTCTAATATATGCAGCTGTTGTAGCATTAGAAGCTTTTCAGCCTGCCATACATTTGTGAACAGTGATATTTTGTCCTTGTTGCACGAGTTGCTTATTTGTTGCTGATCTGGGAAGAACTGAAACAGCAAGATATTGATAATGGACCTCCCAATTTATTTAAGAACAGCAAGAAACGAATCCTGTACGCCACATGAACATTGTACCAAGTTTTGCAAGGTCTATTCTGAATCTCTGATGAGTTCATACAATTGGGCCTTCCAAGAGATGTATAGGCCTCTGAGGAGGCACTTGATCAGGGTCTGGTTCCCTATGTGGTGCTTGGTTTGTAGTTGAGGTTTTAATCGTTCCAGTCAGCTTACTTTAGACTATTTTGGAAACAGAAATATACTTAGAAAATATATGAACATACTCCAAATTGGGGAAAGTATTTACTAAGATAAAACCGGTGACGTTTTCCTTGCCACATTATTTCCTTGATTCTTTTCGTTCGTCATTTGGTGCCTGTGGTAGGGATTGCCTTGGCACATGGCTGGCAGGCTGGAGATATGTACCGGAGATTGGAGAGCAGAATAATGAAGAGCCTTTCTGGGCCGAGTCATCTGGTAATCCCCAAATAGTAAGCATTTTATCTTTATCTTTGTTGAATGAATCATCGTCCTTTCTAAAATAAATCCCAGTATTTCCCTATATATTCTATTTATAAACTTATCGTTTTGTCTTAATTCTTGAAGACTCAGTCTAACTATCCAAAAAATCTTAGACATTGTACTTTTCATCATTGTAGAAATTAAAATATAATTTGTACATCTATTTTTCTTTGTTAAAATCCGATGAACTTAATCTGACGGCATGTGCTTGCACTATCAAAGTTTACATTTTACATTTTACATTTTACAGACAAAAAAAAAGGATGCAGTTAAAATCTCTCCCGGTTGTTTCGTGCATGTCATAGTTATAAAACTCGTAGCACGCATTCATATGGATGAAACCATGACCAGGCAAGTTCAACTCAATAGCATCTACTGCCTCTCAGCACTCTTTAACGAGACAGGAACAACAACAATGACAAATTGCAAATCAATGAATCAATCATCTCATCGTCCCATAAGCTTAAGGGCTAAGGCCTATCTTAGAATTTGATCACAAGTGCAGTAGTGCACAGCCGCTCCAAGAGACATTTTGACGCTCACGAATGTCTCACTGCTGCCGGCCTTCCCTTTTGCGAGTTTGATACTGTAGAACTATGACCCTCAGACCATGATGAAGGCTTGAGTTCTACCAGTTGGATGCTGTAGAATTTGCTGATCAGCAAGTTGGATGCTGCAGTTGCCTTTATTCATGGAAATCACCCCACAGCTTAAGCTTTATGTTTGAATGGTTCCTTAAGATTAGACCTGTTCATGGGCCGGGCTGGGCTGGGCTCGGGTCGGGCTTTTACTCTTCATTAATGAAAATATGTTTGGCCCGAGCCCGAGCCCGAGCCCGGCCCGACCAACGGGCCTACAACTTGGGCCCGAACCTGGCCCTGATAAAGAGCCCGAAGCCCAAGCCTGAGCCCAAAGCCCGACCTAATAAAAAAATTAGAATTTTTCCCTATTCAATAATCAATATAAATCAGAATTTATTTACATTAAAAAAAGAATATAAATTCAATATAAATTCTGAATTCAATAATCAATATAAATCAGAATTTATTTACATTAAAAAAAGAATATAAATTCTGAATTCAATAATCAATATAAATCAGAATTTATTTACATTAAAAAAAGAATATAAAGAAGGGAAAGAGGATGTGGAGAAGAAGGGTTCGGCTGGAAAAAGAAGGAAAAGAGGCAAAGAGGTGAAAAAAAGAGGGGTATTCGACTAGGGTTTTTAGGTTTAATTATAGGTTGGGCCGGGCTATTTTGGCAAATCCTGAGCCCAGCTCGAATTTATTGCGGGCTGGGCTTTTTGGCTTGAGGTTAAGCCCACGGGCCCATATACCTGTTCAAGCCCGTTCGGGGGCCGGGCCGGCCCATGAACAAGTCTACTTAAGATGATGGTATGAAAGCTTGGATGTTGCAATTGCCTTTATTCATGGACATCGCCCAACAACTTAAGCTTTTATGTTGAACTTGAGATGGTATTAAAGCCTGTTTAACCAAGTGGTCTAGTGTTTAATCCCTGTCACTCTCATTATTTTAGTGCAATATATGGATGGGCCCGTGCATGTCCACACTTCAAGCACAATAGGTTTCCACATGGGAAGCATTTTAGAAAATAAAAATCTATTTAGGGACCTTATCATTTAATAGCTTAAGCTTTTAGGTTGAACAATTCTTTGAGAGTTTTACCTCTTGTTAGTTTAGGTTGTCCTGCTTTGACCCAGACGTGGTATGACCCTTAAGATTTGATTCAGGGGTTAGGTCTAATCTTGATTTGGCTCGTGCACGCTCTATTCTAAAATGTGGTTCTGTGGAACTAAAAGTTTGACTTTGGCTCAAAACTCATTATACAAATATTGATCCTTTTGATTAGATTTTTTTTGACGTCACTTTCAATTAGAAATTTAACCAAACACAACGAAAGGAGATTGGCTTCCATTAGGGCAAGCCCGTGCCCACACCATTCCAACCACCTTTTGCAACCTTCCATTGAGAATATCTCCCCATGAAATAAAGCATATAAGCAGGAAGATATTCTCGATGCAAGGCTGTAAAGGCTGCTCAAACAGTCTTTTCCCTGACTGAAGCTGAATTCCAACGAAAGATGGTAGAATGTACTGAATTTTTTAATAATAAAAGAAGGGAGGACTGATGGATTGTTTAACAATGGCTGAAGTGGCTGAACAGATCGACTTCCATATTTTAATGATGAATAAGTTTATGTAGGCTGTGAACTCTTTAATGACTGAATGGCATAAATAAGTTTGAGTATTTTCATTAAGTTCAGCCATTTCAGCTGTTATCAAACAGCATTTGACTGTTTTCTAGAATGGACATTATCTACCCAATATCTTTAAGGCCTTGCTCGTTTATCGGTACCCGGGTAACACACTTACCTAGGCAAGTGAATCCTAGGCAAAAGTTGCTCGAGTAACTTTCGGTGCTAGTGTTCGGTTGTGCTTTCGTTTATTCGGGTAAAGGTGGATGTAGGAGAGGATTAACATTTTCATGGGTGAATAAGCAACTTACCCTCCATGAGAGTATCGATTACCCAGGTAAATGATACTCTCCAAAATAATCCATTTTTCATGGAAGCCATTATAGCGGCATGCAAGGTTCAAAATGTTACTCATGTATTTAAGTCTAATTTCTTTTTCATTAATTAGTCAATTACTTCAAAGTAAACTTAAACTTAAATTTGAATTTTAGCACCTAATTCAAATTATCTCATTAATTCCTTTAATTAATGATCCCCTCTCATTAATTTCGTTTTGTTAGTGTAAAAAACTTTAAAGTTTAGCTATACCAAGATTTGAACCTTGGTCACTTGATTTTAACAACCACAAGTTTACCAATGAACCACACATAGTTATTTGCTATGATTATATGTATTTTTAATTTTAAGTAAATTTTCACTTTTCTTAATCAAGGTTCAAATTATCGATACGTACCGGCCCGTATCATGCTGATGGCTTCCCGATACGTATCGTGTCGGTGGCTTCTCGATACGCCCCTACAGGGGATGTATAGGGGTTCTGACTGGTTCAGGGTGTGGAGAAGCCTTAAACTGGCCCCTAAACCGATTTTGAAAAAGAAAATAAAAAAGGCAAAAAAACACTATCGACATTGCCCAATACGCCGGGCGTACCAGGCGTATCGATATTTTGAACCTTGTTCTTAATGAGTGACAAGTGTTTACTAATAAATGCTAGAATAAATTATTAAAATTTATATACTAATAAATATTAAGATTAATTATATTGGTTTTTTTTGAAAATCGACATTCACATTTTAGTTTTTTGTTTTTTTTTTACATTTTAGTTATTCCATCATTTTTCAATGGTTACTAATTGTGTTTCGATATGTCACACTTTATATAAATTATTAAATTATGGTTTTTTTACATTTAAATGACTTATTTACAATCATATAAAATTTGTAAATATTGTTAATAATATATTTTTAGGATTTATTTGAATTTTCTACTATATTTATGCGTGCCTTGATTTTTTGTCTGTATCCATACGTATCCAAAACATATCCCGATACATCTCTTAAAATTATCTTTCTAGTCCACTTTACGTTTCAGATACTTTGAACCTTGGCGTCATGAGAATGCATGGGAGTTGGTCACCCAATTGACCAACTTACCCCCTACAAGATACCAACAAACAAACAAAGTCCAAGAGAAAACAAGCAAAACAGATTTTTTGAAGACAACTTAGGCAATAGCACCTTGAATTTTGAATCTACAATGAAAAGCAAGGGCCGGTTCCTTCTGGTGTCCAAGAAAAGCTTTTGAACTCATACAGGAAATAACTTATTTTGGATTTGCTAGTGGAGTTCTAGAGAAATTGTTATTAAGTATTGCATGTTCAATATGCTCACAATTTTACTTTGGACATTTGAATGACTTTACTTTTATATTTTGGCTCATATAGGATGTTAGCTTCTACAAAACAGTCATAAGGCCAACTATGTTGTATGAATCATAGTGTTAGGCAATTAAGAAATAGTATATCTAAAAAATGAGTGAAAAGTATACACTGAGAAGGTTTTTTATGTGCATAGAAGACTTTTTACAACATCCATTAAAAAAAAAATTGATCTATTACAAGTTTAAAGAACTAGAAGTAATAACAAATGATTTTTTTTTTTTATTCGATATGATTTAAGCACCTATAGCTTAACAATGGATATGACACTGAATGAGCAAAATGGAATAGAATTCATGTAGGCACCTCCATATAGCTGGGACAAGGCTTTGATGATGATGATGAATGTAGCATGTAAAATTGTATTGTAGAATAATCTTATATTTTACGAACTTTTACAGGTACTTAAAATTCTCATATCCTAGTTTTAGGGCTATTGTTGTCTTTTTCTGAAAATGAAGGGTATAGATTTATTAGCAGAATCCTCCAGTGGGTGATCTGATGTTTATAAATTTACCAAAAAAAATATTAATTTTATCATAAGGCATGTGTTTGGTTTTCTAGAAAATAAGAGAGAAGCAGAAAGTTTTGATTTTACCCTTGTAATTTATTTCGATTACAAGCTTTCATTGTAAAGGAGGGAGAATTTACCTCAAATATTTCAACATAAAGAAAAATATTCTTCCATTTTACGTTATGTTGACAATGTTTATTAAATCAAATTCACTAATGGTCGGTCATGGTTTAAATGTTTGACTTTTTTTTTTGAACTTAGCCCATAGCTAGCTAGCTAGGTTGTGATATTTTTGAGATTAGCAAGAACATTTTGTATATATGCCAACCATGGATGCAACTAGTTCTTGAGAATCGATCTTCAACGGAATTAGGTTTCTTTCAACCAATCCAATTGCATCAACATTTCTTTTATATAAAGCTTTACATTGTTTCTTAGATGCTCATACACGGAGCTCACATATCAAGCAGTGAATTTGACTTACCACACCTTCTATATATATGAAGTACTTTCTAGTTTCTAGCACACATCTAAAGAACCATAGCTCATAGGGGCTCGTATGGCACATCTATTATTTATTGATGTAAATAGAAAAGTGCTTCCAAGAAAGCACTTCAAGGAAGGTTTTGCATGGAGGAAATGGTGTTTGGCAATGCAAAACAATCTTTTAAGTCACAAACAGAAGTTCATGGAATAGTTTGATTGGTCAACAAATGTACTATAGAAGGACACTAGGGGACAGTTTGGCTATTTAAAGTTAAAAGGAATCATATAAAAGCAATATAAAACTCAAATTACTTGTGTAATTAATGGCTGAAATCAACTCCGAACCCATATGCTTCTGCAACATTTTGGATTAATCGAGAAAAGAAAACTTTACTAGCACGTTAATTTGTTAACCTCTACCTCTCTCTCTCTGTAACCTACATGGCTACATGCTGTTAATGAACAGTGGTTGCACTAACTGGTAAATGAATTTGGCTTCGAATAACCATGGCCAGACCTTGTGGATTGTGGGTGAGTTGGGCTTTCTCATCACATGGTTGGTGAACAGTTTAAAAGGTTTACACTGTTTGCTTATGAACAAAAAACCAAAGTCTATATAGATGGATTGAAGATACCCATTTGCCTTGGTAAGTTTTACGAATAAACAAAAGATGAGATGGTTATTTTAATACAAAAATAAAGCTTTCAATTAAGGCGGATTTTTAATTAACTGTACCATTCATTTTATGATATAATAATAGTTTAGACTTTTCAGCTAAAAACATTTTATTAATTTATGCATATTATCTCAGCTAAGACAAAAAAAAGGAAAAGAAATAACTGTTATATTTATGGCATTAAATTTGTAGTTTGTGAATTAAATAATTATGCATGGATAGAATCATAGAACATTTTTTATTGAAATTAAACAATAAAAATACCGTTTGACATTTGTAATTCTTAATTTATAAAATAAATTACAAGGAACCAGCTGGGCCCCCCACCTCCACCTCTCCCATTAGAGTGGTGAAGTCAACTCGCCTTTCCATGTGCTCCATGGATTATGTAAAGGTACAAAAAGGGTACACCGTCCCTTGGGTCTACCCGACAAGAACCCATATTTCGCCCAATTTCATTCCCTTAAGCAATGGTTAATGTCTAAGTGTGAGAGAGAGAGAGGACATGTTTGGCATTTTCTTGTACCAAGTATATTTCCAGTTTGACAGGTATGAATTATCAAACGTATATAATTCAAATTTAAAGGTTTGACAATTGATTCTAATGACCCTTTTGTTCCTTAAACGCAAAGGAAGCTTTATTGGAAATGGGTCGATTACTCCTACCTCCTTTCACCGAGAACTCTCTCTCTCCATCTGGTTTTCTTATTAAATTAATATAGAAACGTTGTCACATGGAAGGAAGAGCGCCAACATGCATTTCATCTCTATGTTAATCCATCGGATTCAAGCTGTCAAACTCCCAAAACACCCCACCTGCACCTGCTAAGATCTCTCTAGCTTCCTCACCTTTTCTTTCTTTTCTCTTACTTTCTTCACAATTTCATTCCTTCTCTATGCTTCCTCTTCTCATCATTTCTCTCCTCCACCACCATGTCTATGAGGATACCACATTTATTAGGCGTCATTCTCTGGCTCTCTCTCCTTCTGTTGTTGGTCCATGAATTCAATAATTTCATGCTCCATAACTACTCCATCACCCATCTATCTGTGTCTCATCATCATCATCACACCGGCTCCACGATCAACAGGAAGATGTTGTCCAGCAAATTCGACTTCACCCCGTTCCAGAGGCGTCTTCGGCAAAGACACCACCGGAGACACTCGCCGCAGTCATCCTCATACGTCGTGGTGCAGCCGGAACCAACAGGAAGCGAGATTGATCCGCTTTACGGTGTTGAGAAGCGCCGAGTCCCAACTGGTCCAAACCCATTGCACCATTGAGATTGAGGTCCCCTAGTGATCAAAATCATACTCTTGTCTTGTATATGCGTCGTCTCAATCCTCTGTCTGACCGGCGAGAACTATGGTTGGTGCATGAGAGTTCTCATATTGCTTGTATGATGATATGTTGACCTCATTCTTTTTTTTTTCTTCTTCTTCTTTCTCAGCGCACGATTTGAAAAGAAAAAGCTCTAATTCAGATCAGATCAAATAACAGCGCGCGATTGGATCGGAATGAGTTCTAGCAAGTATTAACTGTTTAATACTTAATTTCTTGGGATTAAACAAGAGTAGCTACGACGCCACGGCAAAGAGCAAGCTGAGAGGAAATAAAGCAGCACGAAATGATAAATAGATGGATGAAGTCGGTCATGGTGATAGATTTATAACTTCATATTCAGTATGATTATATATATGTGCATGACATTATTATGGTTTATACGTACAAGCAGCGAGGAACCAGATCTATTAAAGAGTTGATGATCATCTTATCATTTTTTTTTCCTACTGAAATCCCTGAGCTTCACATTAAGTCCCCGAGTCCAGACCCCTATTCTCTTGCCTATTGTTTTCCTTGTTGTTTTGATGTTATGATTCTATGCAAAAACGTTGTATAAAATTATAAAATGGTTTGACCCAAAAGAGGTTTCTTTAACGACTCGTTGTTTGCAAATTAAATTATAAAAAAATGATTTGGGCACACCACCACGGTTGATTTAATTTGATATATATGGAGGCAACACGATTGATTTACTTTGAAAAGATGATTAATTTAATGCAGACAGTTGATTTAATTTGATATGGGCAAGTCCATGGTTGATTTAATTTAATTTGATAGTGATACATCATCAGGGTTGATTTAATTTGATTTGATAAGACCACATCTGTATTTTGCACATTTTGCATAGCATCACATTACTTGCATTTGATATTGATGGAAAAATTAAGAAAATTATTATTTAGGTAGAGCTGCAAACTGGAAGATATATTTACACTACAAGAAAAAAGGGTTATAGTGAAAGACCAAATCTATCACTATAGACTGAAAATCCGTCACTATAGAATCTATAGTGACAAATAGATGGCAGAATTTCATCCATCACTACAAGTGGCACCATTATAGCCGATGGTGACGGATTTCAAAATCCATCACTAATGTTAGGCTTATAGTGACTGTTACTTTCATCACTATAGAGTTGTGTTATAGTAATAAACAACATATGACTGCCACTATAGCTATTTAACTATGGTGACGGATTTTAAAATCTGTCACTAATATTAGGCTTATAGTGATGGTTACGTTCGTTACTATAATGTCATGTTATAGTTACAAACAATATATAACTGTCACTATAGCTATTTACCTATGGTGACAGATTTCAAAATCTGCCACTAATGTTAGGCCTATAGTGACAATTATGTTTGTCGCTATAATTTTATTATAGTAACAAACAACACATGGCCATCACTATAGGTATTTAGCTATAGTGATAGGTTTCAAAACCCGTTACTAATTTTAGACTTATAGCAACGGTTGCACTTGTCACTATAGAATCTTGCTATAGTAACAAACATGACCACATTGTCATTATAGATATTTATAGTGACAATACTCTCTGTCACTATATTGGATTTTGGATCTCTTTAGTAATAATCTTGTCCATCACTATATCAAGTTTTGAGTCCTTATAGTGATGATTTTGTCGGTCACTATATTCGATTTTGATCACCTACAATGATGGCTTTTCTACCACTACAAGTTTTTATTTCTCCAACCTACAATATATTTATGTGAAAATCACCTGTCTTCTTTTCACATCATATTAAATTTATTTATTTACAAATAAATTTCTACAAAAATTTAATATATTAATTAAAATAAAATACATGACAATTTGTCTTGTTACATATAATGAACCACAATAAAAATAAAAGTATTGATCTCAGATCTCTTTATCCATGTATGTTGTTATTCTTTTCATATGCATTCAACCTGAAAAACAAAATAAAACAAAAATTAGATTTTTGATGTAATATACATGAAAATTTAAACATAAATTGGAACACATTGGATGAGTGTGACATAGTGTTGTATGATTAAGAAACAAGATATCCATAAAATGAGTGTATAGGAGAATACCAAAAGGGGGAATAACGCAAAGGAACTCTACCTAATCTGCCACATTTGAAAGAGCTTTGTATAGTCAAATCCAAACAGGTATTGTAGCAATAGTGGGTAGGCATTCTGTCACAAGCAGTAAAGTAAGAGAGATGATAAGTACACAATTTATCTTCAAAAGATCCCTTCTCTAAATAAACCATTTATCTTGAAAAGATTCATTCTCTAAATAAACCTTACTAAAAGATACTCTGTAAATTGATTAGAGTATCTAGTTCACCCATCCAAGACCAATGTACTAAACACTTGTAAACACCTCAATACTGGCCACCCACACCAAGATACTTAGATTAAGAGTGGAGATATCTGCTTAGAGTAAGCAATAAGCTGTTGGAAAAGCTTGATTTGATACTGCTTGGTGCATGATTTTCAAAAATAAAATAAAATAAAATAAAATAAATGCTGATAAAATTGACATCGAAGACCCTTGTAAGAGATTACAGAACAACATACGCAAGATGATGCAACCCATTATAGGATTTCCTATCTTCCACAAAAATTTCTTAAATGATGGCTATACTTTCTTTATAGTATTTGGTTCAAGGAATGGAGGCTATAACTTGGAATTGGAATTCCAATTCTAGAGCTGTTTCTGTTTAGCAAATTAAGACTAAAAATTAGAAGACAAACTAATCCATGTAACTGTATTTTACTATACATACAGGAATTCAAAAAGAACAAAAAGAAACTGTTTTTCCAATTCCATGGTTGGGAGAGTTTAGGAACCATAGTAAACACATGTCATTGCCATAAGGTTTCATAAGGTTTGGCTCCTTTGCAAACCACTCTCCTGCAAATCACTCAAATTATCAAGGATGAAGTAGCTAATAATCATGCATGTATTTTTGTTAACATTAACACACCTAAGTTTGTAATCTGAAAATGGAATACACCACTACCTTCCCATGATACAGAAAAGTAGATACCAATTAGCTGTAGGCTATTGCCACACGAATATAGGCTACGGTTTTCTGTCCATAGCTAAACTGTAGCTATATATCTATAGCTACGGTTTTTCTGACATTTAACTACGTTTTTGTCCATAGAAAGTCATATTTCTGGTAGTGGGACTTACCACATTCGATAGAACCTGCCGATGCCCAATTATCAATCATCTTTTATCACCATCCCAACACCAGCCTGCATCAGTTGTTCTTCAAACCTTCCGGTGTTGAATTTTACCAAACATAGAAGAAACCCCAGACATGTCTGAATGTTAGAAGTTGAAGGCAAGATGCCATAGGAGACATGTACCTTGAAACTGAGAAACTATTCAACAATCCCATGGATTTGAAGATTAGTTGATTAATTGTACGCAAACAACTAGCTGTGCCATTTATGGGAGATCCTGATTGGTGAAGAAAGGTTTATTACTTGTTTATGGATTATTTAAAAATTTATTAAAATGATTAAAGAATGAAATATATACAACATACATAGCATCCCTTCTATAAGTATGCCTACCCCATATTCAGTTTAGGCATTCTACATGTAAAGGACCCATAAGTTCCCTATTCACTCCTTGCTTCATAAGTATCAATCAAGCAACTTGCAGATCTATTAGTCCAATCAAAGGTACGTAACATTTGTCTCCCTTAGATATGTAATCTCTTCCACGATCTGCCTAGAGCATCAGTGTCCTTGTTTTTAGTTTTATAACCAACCCACCACCATCTTAGCATTTCTTTCTATTTGTAGATTGATGTAGTTCAAATATTTATCCATTCTCAGGTCTTGTAATGCTGCCATGAGTTCTTCCCTTACTGAACTTTGAGGCTTTATTGACCCTGAGTAGCACGCTGGCCCATACCGGAGAAAGATGCTCTCAACAAGGCCAAGGCCTTTGATGATCGGTAGGTTATGTTTCCAATCAGCCATTTATGCAAATACAAATAGGGTTCAATTACTGAAACATTTTACAAGTCTACAAAGAATCCAAAGATTTATACAATAATTTTTGTAGAGAATCGAAGAACAAGGAATAGGGATTCAGAGTTCACCAACAACAAAGAGGGAGATTAGAAGCAATACCTTTACAAAAGAAGACCAGAATGGTAGCACTGCGATGATGGCTTTGCTTTGGTAGCAGGAGCAGTCCAAAATGATAGCACTGCAGTGATGGGTTGCTTTGGCGGTACAAGAATCGTAAAGGATCGAACTTGAAGGGTTTGGTAGATTGAGAGGGAGCCGTCCACAACGATACTACTGCGGTGGTGAGCTGCTTTGGTGGCAGCTGGAATCGTGGAGTAAAGGCCCGAACTTGAAGGTTTGGGTAGATTGAGAGGGAGAATGAAGGGTTTCTCACTATGAAGGACAGAACTTTGAAGCGCTTCTATTTTCCCTGCATATCATGAAGGAAAGTGAAGGGTCTTTTTGTTCGTTGCATATTCAAACCGAATTCTATATTTTCATTGTATATCAAGAGGGAAAGTGAAAGGTGTTTTGTTTGTTGCATATTGAGAGTCAGAGGCGGGAGATTTTGAATGTTTTAACGATAAAAGTTTTTTATTAATTAATCTTACATATTATGCAATCATTTTTTGAATAGAATTAAGTGGATTTTAAATTGTAGTTAAATTTTACTTTAAATTTTAATAAGATAAATATTAACTAATAATTGTTAATTAATAATTAAATAACTATTTATTAAAATTAATCAATTAGCTAATTATTTAACTAGATAATTAAATAGTAAAATATTAATGATTAATAATTAAATAATTAAAGATTAATAATTAAATATACAATAATATAAGTTATTGGTTAAAATAACACTTAATTAATTTATTTACTAAATCATGATTAGGTAGGGATGGCATTTTCCCCATTCCTACCGAGTACCTAACATCAAGCCAGGGATGGGGATTGCTTTGGTGAGGTGGGGATGGGTATGGGGATTAATAGGGATCCCCAATCAAGGTCGGGGTTGGGATGTGGAATGAAGTCCTTGCCCCGCCCTGACCCCGATTATATATATTAAATGGTATTCATATTAAATATATATATTATTTATATTGTATATATATATCAAAATATATTTAAAATATTATTTATATTTAAAAAAAAATTTTATTTTAGTACATTTATTTTTCAAAAAAATATTGTTGATTAACAAATTTTGGGGATTCGGGTCCCGACGGGGAACCCATCTCTGTTAGGGATCGGGGATAGAGGACAACTTTTATCTCCAATAGGAAACGGGGGTCAAGGATGGGGATTTATTTCAAAATTGAGGTTGGGGACAGGGAATATGATCCCTGCCCTGAACCCACCTCATTGCCATTCTTACGATTAGGGATACAAGCTAGGCTCGATAGTAGGGGTGGAAACGATCGAGCTTCTGATAAGCTATTGAGCTTGACCCGTAAAAAGCTTGATTCAGAATGATCAAAATCAAGCTTCGAGCCAAGATCAAGCCCAATATATAGGCTTGTTTGCTAATTGAGCTGAACTCATGAGGCTCACCAATGATTTAA